TATTGGCATCGGATAACCATCCATTGGCGTAGCCTTGTTCAAATCTCTAAAATCGATACAAACCCTCAACTTCCCATTTTTCTTATACACAGGAACAACACTCGATATCCACTCTGCATATCGGCATGGTTAGATAAATTTTGCTTCTAGTAATCTTTCAGTCTCCTTTTTAATATCACCAAGAACATTTAGATTAAATCTCCTCGGAGCCTGCTTAAATGGCCGATATCCCTACCGTTCTTCAATTTATCCACTACATTCAATAAACTTGCATTACGATCATGCAGGACACAAGCATTCTCCCTTTCTTCCACGAGAGCTCGTTTAATCAACTTCAGGAACCACAACCAGCTTTCGCTGTTCTCCGATTCAACTAGGGCGAAAGCAACAGGCACAACCTGGTTGTTGCCGTCAACCCCTATGGCTATTAGCAATGTACATCTGTACTGTCCAGTCATGAAAGTGCCATCCATACAGAGCAGAGGTCGGCAATGCTTGAAGGCATGTATCATGCACCCTAGAGACCAAAAAGCTCATTTCAGGACACAACCTCCCTTCTCGTTGATGTAGTCATCAATATCAATTACAGTCCCAGGGTTTCTCGCTTGAATGGTTGCTAGAAGAGTTGGCAGGTGGTGATATGAGTCCTTGTAATTACCGAACCTCTTCTCCAAGGCCAGCTATTTTGCTCTCCAAGCCATGTCATAAGACATCTCATAGCCATATCTATTCTTAATAGCAAGCATTATCCGAAATGGAGACATGCCAACTTTTTCAACTATCTCGCCGTACATTACATTTGCCACGAATTCCGCCATCATGTTCTTATGCTTGATCAGCGTTGTCTGCAGCAAGCAACTATGTGGTTGAACAATAGTGGCGATGAAGTTGGTCTTGGTACGTGGCATATGACCATGAACACGCCAAGTACATCCTGGGGTCACACACTTCGCGTCCCACATCGTGGGGTTAGAAATAACCACCTTAAACTGCTTCTTTTCTGAAAAAGCCCACCATCGAACTACGTGCTGCAGATGAACCTTGTCCTGAAACATCTGCCCTTGTCTGACCTCGATCCTCGAATACTCCCACGACGAATGATGAGCATCATCGACCGTCATGCAATCTGGTGCTTTGTGAGCCTAATCCTCAGGGATGTCAGTCTCTTCGTCAAAGCTTCAGCCCACAAATACATCCACAAAGGTGAGGTGCTCTGCATCGTCAGCCTCCATTTGTTCCACAATTCTTTCATCCTCCTCACCCTGGTCAGCTTCCATGTAAGGACCATACACTTCCACTTCTCCATCCTTTGTCGTGTTCTGAACCACCTGAGGATCGTAAACATGGGTCTGCTCAGCATTTGCGGCCTCTAAGTTGTCCTCTGCTGCACCTGTGTTGCTACTCTCACCTTGCATGCCACCATCCAGGAACTCAGCAAGCATGATGTTGCAATAACGACGCTCCAACACCTTGGACACGAGGAAATGCCACTTCTTTGTGTTACTGGCCTCATACGGCTCCCACCTCCATCCATTCTCCCGCAATTTAGGCAGCAACATACTAATCCTGAAACGATGCTGGGAGGGCGGAACATCCAAGTATTCATATAGCCAGGCTAAAACTTGTTTCCGGCTATAATCTAGCGGCGAATTCAGTTCTATGTCAAACACCTGGAACTCGCTAAGGTCTACCCCGCTGTCCCCATATCTAATTTCACTGTTGCCATAGTAAATTATGAAAGGGACCAAATCGGTCGACATTCCTGGTAGCATCGTGCAAAGCATCAAGTTAGTTAAAAGAAGTACCATGCGAACCTACTCTAACTAAACAAAATAAACTAAAAGAAAACTAACCCTAACAGCAAACTACTAACTAAACTAGCCGTAACCCTAAATAAATCGAATCATAGAACCTGACTAAAAATAACTAACCCTAAAAATCTAACTAAAAACCTAATCTACAACTAAAACTAACCCTGAAACTAAACTAACTAACTAATCTAACTCAACTAAACTAACTAAATATACTAAGTAATCTAACTAAACTAAACTAAACTAACTAAAAACAAAATCAAACTAAACTAACCCTAACCCTAACCCTAAAATTTACCTTAATCTACAACTACAAACTAAATTTACTAATTAATCTAACCCTAACCAAATCTAACTAATCTACAACTAAAACTAACAAAATCTACCTAAAGTAACTAAAAAACAAAATCTAAATTTACAAAAAAAAAATCATACCTGTCGCCCCGGGGACGGCCGAGGGCGAGCGCGAGCAGGCACCAGCCGTGGACCCGCACGTGGGGGGGCGGTAGCGGCGCGCCCGCAGCCGGCCGTGGACCCGCACGCCGGCGGGCGATAGGGCCCTATCGGCTATCCAGCGGCCGACAGGACACTAGATTTACAATTCTTTTTATCCAAATGCTATATTTGCAATTAATAATTAAAATAATATTATTTAAAAAAAACTCTTTACCATGTGCTTGCCTTCTATGATCATCAGGGGATGGGATGGATCGATCCCCTCTTGCAGAACATTAATTGGTTGAGGGGCGTGGTGGCACCAGGGGAATATCGGTCAAATATTTGAGATGAGCCAGTTCCTCCAAAACGAGAGAAAAGACTCGTCCCCAATTGACAATGGCATCGTCTATCTGCAAGGGCGACGCATGGTTGTAGCGGGTTTAGGTGTGAGGTGTGGTGCACTACTAAAAAAATGATTTTATGAGATAGATTCTTTTATTAACAAAGGCGATAAAAAAACTCCCTTAGAAATACTCTGTAATTTCAGAGGCGGTCAGCCCATTTACAAAGAGTTCTCTACCTCCTAAAACTAATAACAGAGACGGACTTCTTAAGTTGTCCGCATCTAAAGATGAGGGCCATTTTTAGAGATGGACTCTTTATATGCTCCGCCTTTGTTAACCGAGGCCCAACCCATCTCAAACAATACTTCATTAGCCATATGTATTAAATAGTAATAACTCATGCTTATATCTCCATCCTCAAATTGTAGCACATGCGAGAGCATGGGTCGAAGGACTGTAATTTATAACAGGGCTCAACATCTGTCCATCCCATCAAAAAGCCAGATTGCCGAGCACCATCTAGTGAGGAGTTTCTGCACACACTCTCGTTTACATCAGCTCCTTAGATTTAGTTTGATAAGATTTAGTCCAAATGAATCTAGTAGCAAAATCAGATGATTTTTTATCAGGATCTTGTTACCTGAAATGACTTTGTTGATGGCCTTGATGAGCTCACTATTCCAAACGTTGATTTCATCAGTAAGAGACCAATTTCTTGCCATTATCCGCATGGGAGGGTAGCTCCTAGGCACTCCCCACGAGGACAATAATTTTGGGTCATCAATCTCATCGTCTATGGCCGTGGAGAGAAAATCAGGCATCCAACATGACAAATCAAGAGCAAGAGGTGATGGTTATTGTACCTGACGACAATGCAACTGCTGATGTTGTTTCATCCCTTCTGATATGTTTCGGGCTGGTTCCGGAATGTTAGATCCTGTGGTATGTCCAAAATTTTGGATTGATCACTGAATTTAGCTCAAGTACTGCACTCTGAATTCGACGTTCAACAAGATTCCGTCCATCTAAGCTGGACCGGGTACGAGAGGTCGTCACATGTATGTGTGAGACGCATATGGTCAGAACGCTGAATACATGTGTTCGTGCTTTTTACCCCAACCACGCGCGGCCACCAGTAGCGATCCGTTCTAAAAAGGACAACTGCGGATTTAGCCTAAGTCACTTTTTTAAGTTCAATCATGTTTACAAAAGATAATGTTAACGTTTGGGTCTTTAAATAAGTTTATTCTAAAATACTGCACTAATTAAACTGGAATAATACTTATTTGGTAAATAAATATTTATTATATTCAATATTAAATAGTGAACTCATTGGTCCATCAGTCTTTTTTATTTTATTACAAAATTGTCCCTTTGTCTCTCTTCCTAATTAACGCGCGTCGAGATAAACAAAGAGTATGTTTCCATGCAACCTATATTGGCACGTCTGCAAGTTATTATATTATATATTATCACAAACACAAACATGAAACACGATTGGACTGGACCATCAATCAGACTGGAGCCATGCGTGATGGAGCAAATCTCTCTAGCCGACAGCCGGATCTCAACCCCGTACAGTCGTACCAGACGTGGAGAGACCCGTGTAGTCCGAGCCTGCACAAGCGCGGTTATTATTACTCCCTCTGTCTATAGAAAAATTAAATGCAATTCACGCTTTTCCATGAGTCAAACGTTTTAAAGTTTAACTAAATTTATATTAAATACTATTAAAATTCATAATACAAAATAAGTATCATTAGATTAGTTATGTAATATATTTTTATAATAAATTAATTTTGGGATAAAAATGTTAATACTATGAGAACTTTTACAATGATTGTCGGAAAATGGACGGCTCACGAGGAGCGATCCGATGGCTAAAAAGGCAGAGGCACCAAGAGGATCCGATTGGAGAGGCACCCAGAGAAACCAAGTGCGTACTCCCTCTATATTGGTAATTCAAGTCGTTTTGTACAATGCTTGGGTCAAACATTAGGAATATAAATCATGAAGAACTTTTAAGTTGTTGAGTTTGGAAATGTGAAAACCATACGAATAGATTTGTCCTAAAAAGTACTTTCATAAAAATATACATTTATCACTTTCCAATAAATATTTTTATAAAAATAAGAAGTCAAAGTTATACTTTGGACACCGTGTTGCTGTCCAAACCGACTTGAATTACCAATATGGAGTGAGTACTAAATGGTGGGACCATACGCACCAGGTGCGTACTAAAATTGGTGGGATCAGCACCTTAAAAAAAGTGGGAATATTCTATTTTCAAAAAATATTATGTAATTAAGGGTAGAATGGTAAATTTATAATAGAAAAATAATGTTTGATTAGCATAGGGATGATTGAAGTAGTATAGTCTGTCACATGTATTTCTCCAATTCCGACCATGCCAACCCTAGCCACTCTCTCAGTCTCTCTGTTCTTCCTTCTCTCCGAGTCTCCGTGCTGCGGCGGCGCCGCCTGCCAGGGCGACGGCGAGGGTGAGGCAAGGCTGCGGACGCTAGCACGCGATCCCTCCTCCCGAGTCCCCGGCGAACGGCGGCACCACGTAGATCCGGCGAAGGCGGTGGAGGAGGCGAGATCCGGGCACGGCGGCGTCCGTGCTCTCTTTCGCGGCGGTCCGAGGGGGCAATGCCCGAGAGCGGGCTCGGTAAGGTGCGCGCATCCGCCCACGCCCACCAAAAAGCGGCGGCGGCGGCCATGAAGGAAGCAGGAGGAGGATGCAGCAGAGGAAAGGAGGGGAAGGCGGAGGGCAGCCCACGCCGCCAGGCCAGGCTGCCGGCCGTGCGAAGTCGGGCGGGGCCGCCATGGCGGGGGAGGGGGGGCAGCCTGGCGCGCCACGGATAGCGTGGCCTCGATGCCAGCAGTTGCAGGCGGCTCCTAGCAAGGGCGCGCTCATGGGGGTGCGGAGGCGGCCGTTGGGGAGGACGAGGAGGCGGCGGAGCCCGGCAACGCCTACTCCCAGCAGAGCCGAACCAGCTCCGCGGCCATGCCCCGCCGCCGCCGCAAGCTGGGGATCGAGCCGCACACCACTGGCGACCTCCTCCTGCTCGACTCCATCAACAGCAACATCTACAGGGTCCAGCTGCCGCTGTCACCATGTGAGCACGCTCTGCCTCCGACCACTCCCTGCCCTTTTCAGGTTTTTCAGTCTTCATTCATGGGATTCTGCTAAGTGTGCTGCCTCCCTCGATTATGTGAGTAGTGAGTGAGGAGTTCTGGGTGGTTGGTACTGGCTGATGCGCTGAACCACAAGACATGACAGTACTGTATCCTATGCCTAATCTTTCACCAGCTTCACATCTACGAGTTGGTTGCCAGTATACAGAATGGTAATACAACGCAGAGCGAAATTAGACTGGGAAATTCAGAGCTACTAGTAGTACACATAGACGCACATAGAACCAAGTTATGTTGATTTGATTTAAGAAAGTTTGAGAGTTCTTGATCGGATCCAGTTCAGAGAGTTCTCCACGAGGACAGGGGTCGACGCAGAGCTCCAGAAGGGACCAGTACGCGGGGCGACCGAGCGAGCCTTGTCCACAGCGGGTACGTTGGCAAGCGCTGTCGACGGAGGGCACGGGATGATCGGCGGGGCCAAGCACGTCTCCTCGGCAGCTGCGACGACCGTGCGGGCCGGGGCACGGTTCCCCTGCGCGCTAGGCGGGGGCACGGCGTCCCCAACGGCCGCTCGCACCAGGCAGGGGCGCCGGGGAGGAGGGAGGAGCGATGGGCTCAGTGCCAGCGACGAGGACGGGCGAGGGCAGGCCGACGGTGGCGGTGCCGGCGAGGGCGATGGCGAGGGGCGGCCGCTAGGGCTAGGGCGAGAGCATGGCAGGCTCGCGTTCACCCCTTCGGCATCGCCGCGTGGGGGTTGGTTCGGTTGCGTGAGCGGCGGGTGGCGGGGGAGGGGGGAGGCGGCAATTACCATACTAACCTTCTCTGCGTAAAATTGATTAGAGCTAATAACTTGTCTAGGAATCAAAAGGGACCAAGAAGTACCCCCAACCACCGTAAAAGACTAATACTATTACTTATAAACTTGATCAAACTTGAGTTAGTTTGACTGACACGCTTCTCTATTTTTTTTTTACCGAGGGAGTACTGCGATCTAATGGACCGTACGGGCTCCACTAATAATTCACTGACAGCCGTGAAACACGTATCGATGGGTGCATGCATACGCAGCGCAGCACGTTGCTGCAAAGCAGTGCAAATATGAACATCGAGCAGCAGGCATGACTGCATCAGCAGTCGACAGGCTTTAGGGATCCGAGACAGACAGAATAGATTCCAATTCCCGTGACGCTATATGCTGGATAACTAGACGACAGTTGCATGATTCAATTCAAAGATATTTCACATCACGAACGAGATGATATCAGGAAAGTTGATTGAACAGGTTAGAACAAGTTGCACGTACTAATCATTTGTAGATGAAATCCTACTGATGGACGACAAATACTTGTACGCCAAGTCAAATCAAAGAACAATAAATATGGATGCAAAAGACACTGCTCCGGATCACTTACTACTGCAGTTAAGATTTGGAGAGACGGCTAGGATAGTCTCTAAGCCGCCTCTAAATTTCCGCGTCTAAATTCCGCCTCTCTAACAACTCCATCCATAAACCACTTTTATCCGGACGAGATATTCATTCTCCTCGTATTATCTTGATCCAATTTTGAAATGCGTATTTGGGACACTAAACGGATACAAATAAAAAAGTTTTCACTTTTGTTTTGGTTGTTTCTCGGTCCGAGGTCGTTTGAAAAAAATAAATTTTAAATATGACATATTCAAACATAATTTTAGTTGGATATATGATTTTAAATGAAAAGGTTGTCAACTACAAAGTTGTATAATTCTTCGACATCTACAACATTGGTTCTGCTTATTTTCTCCATCCAAGGTTGTTTGAAAAAATCGAATTTAAGTATGTGTGGAATTTAAACTAAATTTTGGGACCATAGATTGCTTCAAACGAAAAAGTCCTCAACTGCAATGTTTTATACCTTTTCCAGATCTATAACTTTGGTTTTTATCATTTCTCCGTCAAAGGTTATTTGGAAAACCCCAAAATTTTGAAATTCAAGGTGTGAGAACTTCAAACATAATTTGATGGATTCATATTATTTCACATGAAAAAGTTATCAATTACGAAATTGTAGATCTCTTCGAGACAGACTACTTTGATATAAAATTTGTCTTCATCCGACTTTATTTAAAAAATTTATAAATTTTAGTGTGCTGCATCTATTTTAGAGATGTCTCTAAATCTAGCCGCCTCTACAGTTCCATTCCTAGAGGCGGCTCTAAATCCAGCCCTCTCCACAAATGCATTTGTAGAGGCGACTTGCATTGTTATGGGAACCATTTGTAGACGTGGTTGTAGATTGAGCCGCCTTTATTAAAAAAAATCATGTTATTGAAAATCATTTCCATAGTAGTGCTTGTCGGGTCCAAACATGGCATCATTGCTGAAATCAGACCCAGCAAAGGATAATCAGTAATGATGGACTTACCTATCACTGCCCGTTCCTAGACATGACAGTGATAGAAAGATATCATGTTGCTCCAAGCCATCTGGGTTCGATGCCCCAACGCCCCCGCGCTGCTCTCTGCTGGCCACCGTCGGACGCTAGGAACAGTGCTAGCGTCCCATCCGACGGCCTGTTTCCTCCTGGTCCGACGCCACATGCTACCTCTGCTGCTTCGGGTTAGGCGTCAAACTCAACCTCAGGTTGGTCTGACGCTTGACCAAAACAGGGTGCGATGCCCCTATTAGGGGAAGTAGGGGATCCGCGATCAGGATCCAATCCCATCTGCTTCATTAAAGCACATAGTTAGAAGGAGCAGCAGCCCGTGTAACCGAGCATACGAATACAAGAAGAGCAGCATCACCCCCAACTGGACAAGGGCACCCCACGTGCCCGAACCAATATGTCTCATGTGCTACCATCTGATTTATCTTACACGATTAGCTGCTAGATATTGCAGAGCTAAATCTTCCGACAGTTGGCGCGCCTGGTAGGGGCGTTTCGCGTATAAATTTGTATTGTGTTTCGGATGGGAATTGACTTCTACTTTGGCGACGACGTGGAGAAGATGTAGCCGGATGAGAAGATCACCTTCGACAAGCTCGACTTCATCACCGATCAGCTCAGGAACCTGCACTTATAGGAACCCGAGTCACCCGAGCAGGAGGAGGAGCAGTCACCTTAATTTTCCTTCACAAGATGTGTTGATATTACGAAATCCACATAAGTATTTATCAACACTCTTGTCAGGGGAAGCCATACTGTGGAATGGCTTCAACCTATCTTTAAAGTATAGCTTCTAATATATTTAATTAACATAAGTTAAGCTTATCTTAGTTGATTGAGAATAAGGTTATTACTATTATAAATTACATTTAGCATAAGATATTCATCCCGGAATATGATGTATATAAGAAGTGCGGTTTTATTTTGGTTCGAGTAACATTTCAAATGGTTTTGCCAAACAAAGGACAACATAAAAGACCAATCCAGAATCAAAGTTAATCAAGTAAGTTTAAGATGTTGGTGCTGTTTAAGTAAGTTTAACGTTTTAAGTGTTTAAGTTCTAAGTGTTGAGCACCATATTCAATTAATTTTTTCCACCATAGGTCTACCTTAAGTTGCCGGCATTAAGTTTATTGGTAGCCTACCATATGGGATAAGATTGAGATCTCAAAATTGTGATTCTGAAAGTAAATAAATTTTTGTATGTGCACAAAAGTATAAGTAAAAAAAAAACTGCATAATAGGACCATAAAGAGGCCATCATAAGCCTAAGAATGAACTATTCTGAGATATGAATGGTGCTCTACAGTGATTGGGTTCATCAGTACTTAATTGACTGCTGCAACCGTTTCATCTTTGTGCATTGTTCTATTGAAAGAGTGGTTTCAAATACATAATGTTCTCTCCATAAGTTCTCTCTGAAAAGCATAAATAATTATTCTGTTTAATACAGAGTGGTTTGCTATAGATGCTTGATCTAATGGTTCTTAAATGACTGTTACAATTTTTCATCTTATTATACTGTTCTATTGAGAATGGGACTAATAATAATAAAAGTACTAAGCCTTTCGATCAAGACGAGAGAATGTTGGAGTTGATCTCGGCTTGGTCAACTCTGACCGAGTCTTAAGGGCCTAACGGCCATGTATGCCCTGATCGGGGCATCCCAGCAACATAACAGCCAGGTCCCAAACCACCCCAGCTATAAGTAAGGGCATCCAAACCTTGGTTAGGATTGCTCTAAGATATGTTTTTACCCTCAAAACACCTACGGATCGAGTTTAAGCTGGGAGTGTTCTTGAAGACCCGTGTCCGACCGCCGGCCAGCCCTGTGCCGGCGTCCTCGTCACCGACGCCCTCAACACCATGCCTGCTACCTGAGCAGGCACGTGTACGTCAGCAGCCCCATAGGTCATCGTCTAATTCTTAGGTCAGTTTTAATTAAGTCTTAATTAAATGTTAACCAAGGATTAGGTGTTCTTGTATTAGGCTAATTGAGATCCCGAATAAGTATAATTCTGAACACTTACATTTGTCTTTTCACTAAATGAGTATCGAAGACACACAAAGATGCCATATAGAGATAGAAAATTATATATGGATATATATAGATGGGAAAACATATTAAGTAACTGATAAGTTTATCACCACCGAGTAAAGATTATAGATGTGTTTTGGGTCAGTAAATTAAAAAATAGACGTGGCATAAAAGATAACTAACTTTTATTAGCTATAGGTACTACAAACTTCTAACGCTCCTATGATTTTAGCTCGGCCGGCCATTCAGGAACACGTCCTGATAGACTAGTTTTATAATGTTAACCCTTGAATAGCACCAATCTTGTCAATACCTTATTCTTTTATTTATAGTGATAATTTATACACGCAACCTACAGCAACACACCTGAATGGAACAATAGTCCCAATAATATAGTCCGTGATGACGACGATGTGTCATTAACGTTTTGTTCTTCTTGATCAAATAAATAGCAAGGAGTCCTATCTGTTCAAGGTTTTCTCAAATAAAAATATCACAGGATGACCATATAGCACCTAGTTTTAAGAACAAAACCAGGTACCAACCATATGTGTGCCCAAAAATTCAATTCACACATATAACTACAAATAAAGGGCAATACCAAAGACAATGCCTTTATTACATAGCGTATAATTATTTATTACAAAAGACACAGTCTTACATCACACAATATACTATAGCTCTATTCTTCTGGCGAAGCCTCCAACACCATAGGAATCGTCAACTGGTTGATCACTAGCCTAAACCTCTTGGAAAACTCCACAGAAGAACCTCCATCGGGTACCCATCCGGAATTTTGCCAAAGTATTGAAATAAAACAAGCGTAAGCTACTACCGCTTAACAAGCATAATATGAGGGGATGCAGGCTCAAATGCTTGACATGGTTGAACTACGGTAAGCACTTTTAGTTGGTCACATTCATTATTAATCATAAGTTGCTAAGTTATGCTTAGGCTCCCGAGTGTGAATAATAATTAAAGATATCATCAATATCACCAAACCATCCAAGTAACCACTATTCAGTAAGGATCCAGGCCGCTCATGACCGAGAGCATGGCTGATATATCAGTTTAAACCACTCTGCAGATGTTGTACATCTTTACCCATGAGTCTATGATTCCCATATGCCAGGGGTCATGAATCCCATATCACCTCTTCCAAGGAAGTGCGACAGGGTACACTACGAAGCTTTCCCCAGTCATTCTAATAAATAGCAACCGCTAAGGTTTCAGTCGACCGCACGTCATGGAGCCCATTCCCCAAAGTGGCATACGTGCTCGCAGCATTATACACACAATGGCAGGATAAGACCCATAACCATCACAGCACTCCCCTCTTGCCCTTTCGGTAAGTTGTTACAAACTA